GATGATTTTGCCGATTATTTTTCATACTACACAGCCTAATGTTAATTGGATTAAAGAGTCATGAATCCAGGAAATGAAGTAAAAAAGGTGTGTTGAGTTTAATAATGGTTTTTTTTTCTATTTTATCTATCAGCTTATTTCTAATTAATAAACAGATTTATGAAATCTGGCCAAAAATGAAGATGTTCACTGATAAATGCTCAAACAAGCTGTATGTTGGAGTATTATGTCAATAATAAAGCAAATTATTGCAAATGACATTAAAACATCAAATGCTAGCTTATGAAAGTACAATTTTATTCTATTGCAATATGTAAAAATCACGTATGCAGATAAGTAAAGACTGGCTGAGAATGTCAAAAACAATAGTTCAATTTCCTGGTTTGTGGAAATATGGGTATAATTTTTAAATTAAATAAATATTTTAGTATGTATAATAAATAATTTATTTCTATTCCTTTCCAACATACATTATTCTGTTGAACTTGAAGGGTATGCTTTTGCATTTTGAGAGTGTTTTTGTAAGATGTGATATCTAAAATAAACTCAATACTTCATTTTATAACCAGCACATTTTTCATTCTCTTGACATTGCCAAAGGATAATGCTGTACATTGAAACATAAAACAAAAATAGACCCAACTCAGTTGGTAGTATAATATATGTAGCACTAATGCTCCTTATTGATTACCACAAAGGTGTTTGCTTTTGCTTTTTGTAGCCCTTCCACTGTAGAGCAAGAAACCAGAAATACATTATTTGTGAAAGGTGGTTGTACTAAAATGTTTTCATGTGGTGAATGCTTATTCCACACTCTCATAAAACAAATTAGTCTTTCATGATGAATGAAGTATTTGTTCTTTGGGCTATGTGTATTTCAGAGCTTGGATATGCTTAATTTCAATACCAACAAACTTGTGTAAAATACATAGCTTAACATATACTTTATACATGGGTTTATATGTGAATTTTAATTAAAATATGTTTCAAATAGTCTATTAGTTCCAATTACTGTTTACATACTGTTGAAAGATATGGCAGTGACCAATTAATTTGACAATTTACTAAAATTTTTTTCATATAGTTCTGATTTAAAAGATATAGAAGTGTTTTCAAATTGATTCATACATTTGAAAGACATGTTTTTGAGCACTCCGTATTTAGCACCAGACTAGGAATCAACGTTTATTCAAATGAAATAGTAAATGGTAAAATGAGAGTGTGCTCTGAAGCACACAAAATTAGGGAGGACATAAAAATAAACCAGTGGTTGATAACCAGAGGTACAGATGAGAATATGGATGAGTCCCAGATAGGAATTACAGTACTTGCTAATACTGATCATTGAAAAGATACTGCAAGTCCAATTTTCATTACTAGTTTTGAATCTGTTAACAATTTCCCTGACAGTGAGGCCAAAGTAGACAGTTTTGATTTACAAATGAAACAGTTCTGTGGATCTGTGAATTAGATTTGCAAATGAAATATTTCTATGACGTAGCTGCTCTACAAAGATTTTAGATGAGAGGGTCTTCATTTAAGACTGGCAGTAGGCCAAGCAAAATTGAACTCAGAAAATCCTGGGTTTTGGCTGGGCATGGTGCTTCACGCCTCTAATCCCAGAATTTTGGGAGGCCAAGGTGAGAGGATTGCTTGAGGCCAGGAGTTTGAGATCAGCCTGGGCAACAAAGCAAGACTCTGGCTCTACAAAAATAAAAACAAATTAGCCAGGCCTAGTGGTGTGTGCCTGTAGTCCCAGCTACTTGAAAGGCCAAGGCAGGAGGATTGCTTGAACCCAGGAGATGGAGGCTTCGGTGAGCTAGAATCGTACCACTGCACTCCAGCATGGGCAATAGAGTGACACCCTGTCTCAATCAATGAATCAATCAATAGATAAAATAAAATCCTGGGGTTCACTCACAAAAACAAAGTAAATGCTGAATTCTCAGAAAATAAAATTATAATACAAATTCTTTTTAATGATAATTTCATATTTACACATATTTGTATATTTCCTGTAATGAATTTAGATTTAGCAAATAACTATGATCAATAAATTTGTTTTTTCTTCTGAAGTTAAAGATCTGTATTTTGGTAAAAGCCCCAACATTTTAACAAAAAACAGCTGATTTTCATCTATTTCTTTCAAGATTTATGTGTTACTTGGGAATTCTATTGTTTATATATTGATTACAGGCTATAATTTCATTAAGTAAACTGAGAAAGCATGTCGCAAACTAGTTTTAGCAATAACTGTATTTTTACATATCTGTCTTTCAAAAAAGCTGGGCTGGATATTTATATTTTACTTAGTAATATCTCAATTTCCTCAATAAGTAAGTCAGTAAATTGAATTTATAGTTTATTTTGTCTTTCCTCCCATCAAATTACATGAATAAGAAATACTGTGGTCTCATAACATAATTCTATTTCCAAGAGAAAGAACATGCAAGTCTGTAGAATAATAGTCAATAGTGATTTTTGTCAAAATATATTTATTGAGCATCTATAGTACGCAAGGCACCGTAGGGGTGATAGCAGTATGTTTGGTTTGCTGTCCTTGCTTTTAAGAGAAGTACACTTTTTAAAAAAAGACAAGTGTACTTTAGGTGGGAATCCACATTTAGCCAACAAATACAAAACATGTTTTCCATTCTATATGTCAAAGGTAGCTTCGGTGGATTCCATATTCCAATTTAGGGCCTCTGATTCAGACATTTCAAAGTAACCTTGTGAGTTACAAGCCTCAAAAATGTAGGGTGTGAGTGGTGATGGAATGGTACGCCCAATGAGATCAGATCATAGAGGGTCCACATTCTTTATGCAATGGGCAGCTATTGAAGAGTTTCAAAGCAGGGAACAGTTTTCTAGATAAAAGTGAATTTAGTAACAGTATTTAACTAGAAAGGAGAGTAAAGATCTGAGAAATGTTAAGGAAGTGCAATTGTCCAGACTTGGTCACTGGCTGAATGTGACTGGTGACACACAGCTTCTAGGTTTCTGGCTTGGGTGATGAGATGGATGAAGTTGCCACTTCTTAAAGAAGCAACCAGGAGGAGAAGCACACATGCAGAAAAAGGTTATTCCCTGTGGGATGTATTAAGTTTTAAGTGATTTGGGAGACTTTACAATGAAATGTCCACTAGGCAGTCTGGGTCTTTGGAACCTCAAGGAAGAAATCTTTGCTGGGATGAAAGATTTCAGATTCATTATATAAATGAGACTCATTAGCATGTGTGTTGTCATTGAAATCATGGGAGTGGATGAAATTGCACAGGATCCTCAATAAATGTTATTGGGTCTAATGAATAAATGAATAACCAGGGAAGATTAGAAGAGAGAACTCAGAGGTTAAGGAGGAGTCCAAAATAATAGGGAAAGTGCCAGGTAGGATAAACAGTTCCCACTCTGTAAGTTTCTCTTCAGTCATAGGAACATACAGTTTTGTAGCAGAATACCACAAAAAATGTATACTACAAATGAAGTTTTAATAAAACTTCAATAATTAATAACTGGAGATAACCTAATTGATATGATAACATAATTGATTACTTGGAGACAGCTAAATTCGCTATTTCAGAACTGACACATTTCAGCAGACTGTGAATCTACATCATTATGGAACTCATGAATCCACATTATTAATAAAATGTGAAAGTTACCCCTTCAATTTACTCTCTGAGGAAAGAAAAAAGCATAACATGAAGCTTGAAAGGCATTATTAAATTTAAGAGTTTGAGCACAAACTTTAGAGCAGTGTTTCTCAACCTCATTTTCTTTCTTCTCTGTTTAGAAACAGGGCCTTGCCCTCTTGACTAGGCTGCAGCTCAGTGATGCAGTCATAGCTCACTGCCAGAAGTGATTCTCCTGCCTCAGATTCCAAGTAGCTGGAACTACATGCGGGTGCCACCATGCCCAGTTAATTTTTTAAAAATTTTGGAAAGATGAGGGTGTTACCATGTTGCTCAGCTTGGTCTTCAACTCCTGGGCCCAAACCATCCTCCCACCCTCCCATCTCAGCCTCTCAAAGGTCAATGTCATCCACTCCCATGATTTCCATGACAACACATACGCTGAGTCTCATTTAGATAATGAATCTGGGATCACAGGTGTAACCACTGCCCTCAGCCTTCATTTTCACTACACTTCTAAGGAGACATTTTAGACATATTTTTCTTAACCAATCTCTCCTTCCCCATAAGATTTTCATACTAATTGTGTACTGTGTGTCTGTTTATGTATGTCCTGTGGGAGGGCCACAGACCATGGTAATGTCTAAGATTGTTTTTACCCCCGAACACCAGTTTCTGCTCTCATTAAGAATGCACACTCTGGAGAGTCATGCTGCCCCAACTGAGGTCCTAGCTCTACTGCTTTTTAGCTGCATGGCCTTGTGCAAGCTATTTAATCTTTCTGTGCTCCAGTTTTCTCTTCTGTAAAATGGGGATAATAATAGTCCTGTCCTCATGTCCTCACAGGGGTGCTGCGAAGATTAAATAAACTCACACATGTAAAATACCTAGCAAGCCTAGCACATAAACAGTAATTACTCCTTCTTTACTTTATCTACCATCTATCTCTACATATATACATATATATAGTCTTCTGTTTATTTTCATTTTACCTTGTTACATTGGTCTTTGTTCACTTTGTGTTTAATAATTTTGCTGTTTATAATTTAGAAAACTTTTTTTTAGAGACAGGGTCTTGCTATGTTGCCCAGGCTGACCTCTAACTCCTAGGCTTAAGCGATCCTTCCGCCTCAGCCTCCTGAGTAGCTAGGACTACATGTGTGTGCCACCACATGTGACAGAGGAAACATTTTATTATTAGTTTTATCCATGATATTTTCCCCTTCCATGACGTATAAACATGAATTGACTTCATATCAGTTTTATTAAACTGTGTTTAATATTAAACTGTGTTTAATAAAGCCATATTTTTAAGGAAAAAAGTAATTTTTTTCTCAAAAACTAGATATAGCCTTCTTCCCCCGCTAGCGCTGCTGGGCCTGCAGGTCTCTGTTGAGCTGCGGACGCGGGTCTCTGTTCCCCAGGGTGGGGTTTGTTAAAGTTGTTAAGAATAAGGCCTACTTTAAGAGATACCAAGTGAAATTTAGAAGACGACGAGAGGGTAAAAGTGATTACTATGCTCGGAAACGCTTGGTGATACAGGATAAAAATAAATCAACACACCCAAATACAGGATGCTAGTTCGTGTAACAAACAGAGATATCATTTGTCAGATTGCTTATGCCCGTATAGAGGGGGATATGATAGTCTGCGCAGCATATGCACATGAACTGCCAAAATACGGTGTGAAGGTTGGCCTGACAAATTACGCTGCAGCGTATTGTACTGGCCTGCTGCTGGCCCGCAGGCTTCTCAATAGGTTTGGCATGGACAAGAGCTATGAGGGCCAAGTGGAGGTGACTGGTGATGAATACAATGTGGAAAGCATTGATGATCAGCCAGGTGTCTTTACCTGCTATTTGGATGCAGGCCTTGCCAGAACTACCACTGGCAATAAAGTTTTTGGTGCCCTGAAGGGAGCTGTGGATGGAGGCTTGTCTATCCCTCATAGTACCAAGCGATTCCCTGGTTGTGATTCTGAAAGCGAGGAATTTAATGCAGGAGTACACCGGAAGCACATCATGGGCCAGAATGTTGCAGATTACAT